TTGACCTCAAATGTGACAAACTGTACTATTATTGCTGTATGCTACAAGCAGTGGAATAAGACCAATTAAAATCGACATGTTTCCTCTAAATCAGCACTCTCCCATTGATATTTGTTAAGCTTGCTGATCTAGCAATCTTTAAAAGTACACAAGAAGATGAATAATAAGAGATTTGTCAGTTAATAACCACTATAATTCAAGAATGTCACAGAGAAATGTTTTGTTTAGTGAACAATATGCTGTCTAATTACCCTGCTCAATCATTACAGAACACATCAAGAAGCAAAATTTATCTGGAAAAAAAATCCTGTAGAATGTTTTAAAGAAAAATAATCATACTACATTTCACCAAGATTGCTTCTTGCATCATCATCCTCAACTCCATTAAGTTGCTTAGAATCATGGTTATTAATTAATTTATTCATTATGGTATCAATTTATTTCCTCACTTTTAACGTATCAGACAAAGGGAAAAAATAGAACAAACTGGCAAATTATTATTTAAAGAGCAAGGAGCTACATCTGATCTAAAAGCAGACAGGTAAAGGTAAAGGTTCTCCTCACACATATGTACTAGTCATTCCCAACTCTAGGGGGCGGGGCTCATCTCCGTTTCTAAGCCGAAGAGCCAGCGCTGTCCGAAGATGTCTCCATGGTCATGTGGCCGGCATGACTAAACACCAAAGGCGCACGGAACTCTGTTACCTTCCCACCAAAGGTGGTCCCTATTTTTATACTTGCATTTTTTACATGCTTTTGAACTGCTAGGTTGGCAGAAGCTGGGACAAGTAACAAGAGCTCACTCTGTTACACTGCAGTAACTGCCGAACGGCCAACCTTCTGATCGACATGCTCAGCGTCTTAGCCACTGAGCCACCGCGTCCCCTAAAAGCAGACAGAGTGATGGCCAAACAGAACCCCAGTGAATGCAGGTTAGGAAATGTGCCAAACACCCTTTTTCATATTTACAATAAATAGGTTTACAAACGTAATGAGCTGAAGAATAGTGCAGGAAAAGGAAGGCCCACAGGAATACCTTCTTACAATTTTCAAACTTTCTAAGACAGGATCTGAAATATGGGTAGGTCCAAGGCTGCAGCTGGAAAACCATCACCTGATCTGCCATTGCTAAGCTGAACCACTGTTAAGTATTTTGCATTTCCATGATTTTGTAGGGAAAGCAGCTTCAGGCTCCTCTATCTAGATATCCAATATCATCAAAACTGAACAGCAAAACTGACTGAATGTAGACCATAAAATACAAACAATATGATTTCTCTCCAGAAGATGTAGCACTTACCTGGGAGACTTTTAATTTTCTATTTTATCAAGCTATTTAATAAAGTAAATAGTCAAATTTAATTATCATAAGCAATGGAAAAGCAGAATTTAAAAAGGGCTGGGAAACTGTTTAAAAAACAAAACAAAAACATCTGACCCCTATTGCCCTCAAATCTTCTTTGCAACTTTGTGGATAAAAAAATAATACTATTTCAAATGTGGGAAAACAATACATATAATATCTGCAAATGAGGCATAGATTTCTCCTTCCAGTATGCTATAATAAATCTTTCAGACAGTTCCCATTTCTTAAAAATCACCATTCATGAATCTTAATACATTTCAAATACTTCAGTGCATGCCAATAAGATTGCATGTATCTTTAACTCAAAATGACTGAACAGTAACTCACAGTCGTTTGAACAATTCTATTGATTTCAATTCAAAATGTGGCAACAAGATTTAAGTATAAGGAAAAAGCACTAACCTTCTAAGGGGTTAATGACATCAACAACAGATTTAGATGCTGAGTTTTGAGAAGGGGAAGGAGATCTGCTGGAAAATATTCTAGACTAGTCTATCCATGAGTCTTTCCCCATGGAAAACAAAGGATGCAACAGAAACAATTAGCCAATCACAAAGGTAAGCTGGGTCTGACTTTATTATAGGAGACTACCAAGAAATTTGAGCCTATTAGGCAAGGAAATAAAACTAAAAATCCTGAAAGAGGATAGCAACAAACCACTTATCTAGTGTTGCCAAAAAATAGATAAGACAATTAAGTCATTAGGAGTACAGTAGTGGAAGCTGAATTCAAAGCACATTGACTTCTTCAGAGATATTGTAACATTCCAAAAATTTGTCTTGAGGGGAAAAAAACAGCACTCCATTCCTGAATCTTGCAGAGACTTAAATTGTGCAGAATTTTGACTGGTAGTGCACAAAACGCAAGCAGAGGCAGAAAATGATCATGAAATATTTTGCCAAAAGATTATGTTAGTAGATTGATATTTCGGAGGAACTCTGACAAGCTTCGTGAAACAATTTGCCAGAAAATATACAATGCAAACCTGTGTATTAGAAGAGGTGAACAGGTAGAGACAAATAAGTTGTGGGTTTTTTCCTGTTGTTTCCAGCAGATCAACTAGACATTTTTGACAACAAAACACCAAGAACAAAACAAAATAAGGCAAAGTCTGCACTAAATCATAACCTTTATAGACCAAGACTGAGACAGTGTTACTGTTTGATTAGCATTATGTTATGATCCCTGCATAATGGTCTAATGAGATATATGAACCCAGAAACTATGGCTTATTAAACAAACCCAAATTAAGCAAACAATAGCTGACAAATGAACCCTATCTTATTTTTTTATGAAGAGATAACAACTCCAAAGTTAGCTTCATCTGGAAGACCTTGTAGTTTAAGTGACAAGCTGCGACATTTCTACAAATCGGGTATCTATATTATGTTTTAAAAGCATCAGAAACTAATCATGTTAGGTTTTGAATGGGGAAATTCCCAGATCAGAATGCTAACTAAATCACAGCTGGGGACTGTACAGTGCAATAATATTTAACATAGCTGGGGCGCTTGAAGACACCAGGTCATGGTACATCACCTGATTTACCTATATAAAGTATAAATGTCTTGGATCTTCAAAGAGGGATAGAATAATTTTCTGAAACAATAAAAGACAAGTTCCAATATTTCTATGTTGCCAAGTGTCAAGTGCTTATACCTAGATATGGAAAAAATACATATTCTCAGATGTACTTTTCTCATTTAGTTATCTTTGTATTACCTGCATTTATAAACCTGCATCACACACACACAACTAATTCCTCATTTTTCAAAAGAGAACTAAATCAGATGAAAATATCATTAATTCCTATTTGTGATCAACTGTTCCTTCTTCCCCAAATACATTTCTTCACCAAAATAAGGAAGTTCAAGTGTATTTAAAGAGTCTGTTGTTAGGAGAACTCTAAACTCCAATTCATTCATGGTAGCTGGGTCTTTGAAATATAAGTAGGAGGTGAACAATGTTTCTGACATAAACAGATAGCAGTGCATTCAGATGCAAATCACCATTATGTGGTTGAGAGGCACCCTAAATTAGCCTAGTATCTTCCTAGAATGTCAAAATATTTACTCTACCCCAAGCACTTAAAACAAGAAAAGAGTCAGATTTCACATGACATGATGGAAGTGTCAAACACCTTTCCCTGCCTTTGTTGGCATCACCCCACAGACTGATAAATATCGAGAAAAGAACCTTCCATCCATCTCCTTTTATCTGTAAATGGCTTTCTAGGAAACTGAGGGAAAGGACAACGAAAATACTAGGACAGAGAACATGACTTTCAGAAGGACAAATACATGACGGAATTTCAAGACTACTTGCTATGATGCTTCAGAAACATCACTTTGCCTATAAGAAGTAGGTTGTTTATGGCTATGTTGCAAACTGGAGAGCAGCTTCATAAACAAGAGGTGAAATTAAAAAAGCAAAAATAAATAAATAAAAGGGAGTGAAGGGGAGTGCAAGGGAGCTTTAGGTTAATAAAAATATGCAATACCCATTTTGTTAAATAGTTTGCACATTTCTATCTGTTTCGCTTTCCTTTTAAGTTAGGGCCATCAATAGACTAAAAATTGTTGACACGCCGTTCTGACGCTGTGTAACAATTGCTTAGGTATTGCTAGGTTTGTTTCTTTAAAGATGTTGTATTTTTTTACACAGGGCTTTAGAGCAGATAAGGTGCAAATAGATCCTGCAACATGCTTCTGTTCAGGATTTTGACCAGATAAAAAATCCATTTTGCTAGCTTTACCTTCCCTCTTCCCACAGATTTTTTTTCCTGGGCCTAATAAACAGATTCCCCTATTAAGGACTGTTTGGAGGGTTTCCCTCTTGCTTCTTCTATTTATTGCTTATTTCTACATTCCCACCCCCACCCACCCCTGCAGCTCCCAAACTTGCTAAACTTTCCTCTTAAGCAGGAAGGGTCATTTTTGTTAAAAAATGACTATAAAAATAATGATTAGTATAATGTAGTAACCAAATCATCATTCAACTACTAAATGTTACATGAAACGAAAAGAAATTCCCCCACCCATTTATCTTGGAAGTGGACGGTATATTCTTTTATTCATAAGAGAGGTAGAGCAGAGCTTGCATATCAATAAAAGTAAAGACTTCCAAAAACTGCCTGTGGAGTCCCTGGATGGAAAGTCTGGATTCCACACATATTTTAGTAAAACTTTAACCCTCTATGAGACAGGAATGATGGCAGCAGCTTAACACCCACACCCCTTATATTTTCTTTCCTTTCTACCTCTTTCCTCCTCTCCTCTCCATCTTTTCTTTTTTGGCTGTTTCTGGTGGAAGGAAGGAAGAACATGTATGTACTTGTATGTTTTGTGTGAGAATTATATTTGTGCATGTGCAAACATGCTTTTATAAATTGGTTAGTTTCATTTAAAGGGGAATTAATTTTAAATCAATACTAATTATTTCCAAACTATTAATTTAGGGGTATGTGTGTGTTCCTTTTGTTTTGAAATATGGTTTGGCCATGAACATATACACGTATAATAAGTATGTCATACATATATGTTAGCGGAAAAATGACTTAAGTAGCTAAAATCATTTTCAAAAGTACAATTAGTTAGGGACAGATCTTGAAGCCTGTATATTGTAAAATACTTACGAGCCACTGAAAAATTATTTAAGGGGGATTCTCGCTGGTCAACATCTTGAGGTCGCTCTTTATAGCCAATAAATGTTCCATCGTTCTTCAACAGAAAGTACCTTGGCCTCCATGTTTTAATGTACTCTCCTGAAATGGAGAAAAGAAGAACCAGAATTAAGAATGATTCATAAGTTTGGGATATTTTCTTCATACCAATGTTACTGCTACAGGATATATTAAAAAAATGACTACATGTCCTATATTTCAGAAAGCTGACTTTAGATTTTATTTTTTTAACTCACTTTTGCCCTTTGTTTTGATCAGTTAACTTTTACTATATAAATGGTATGACTTAATACACACGTTGATTGCAGAAATCCTTTTTAATACTTGCTTCTCCCCACCACCACTTTTGTTCAATCAGGTTCCTTCCTTTCTTTCCCCCTCAAAAAAAATATGGTTGCCATACATTGTTTTGACCATCCCCACACATTAAAATAGAAAACATGTTTTCAAAGAGTCATCAATAAAATCTCTTAATATTGTCATCCAAATCTTTTGCTTTTCCATTTTTCTTTTCCCTCTTCTAACATTTCAGAATTTGACCCTAAAGTAATTCAGAAACTGCATGGACTGTATAGGCAAATATCTTACCTTTTTAATACAGTCTAATTAATTGATAAATAAATTGATGCATAATATAAAATGCAACAATGAGCACATCTGCTTCTCCATTCAATACGAACTCCATGATAAACAAATATTTTTACCAGGTTTATTAAAGTCAGATTCAAAAGGGAAAGCATACTTTCTTCAGCTTCTTGCAGAAAATATTATTTACTCGGTGTGTGGTCAAATATTGTATTTATTTAATCATCTTTTTAAAAACATATTGAAGCAGAATGTTTCTTGAGAATTTTACATACTTTTTTACAAATAGCAAGAAAAAACAAAAATATTTGTTTTAAAATATTATTGAAGATAATTTTTTATTTATTCCTGTTTCTAGACTATATCTTTTGAGTGAAATTCCAGTCCATGTATTAGAAATGAACTCCCTCTCTGATGCATCACGCACAGGCCACACCCACTCCAGTTCTGCAAAAGTGAAAAACTCATGATATGTCACATGACGCGATTGAGTTTGACACCTGTGATATAACTATAAGTCTTCTATAAATGAAAACTCAAATGCATCAATACATGCTACACATATGATAGACAAACTGAGAGGGGTGGAAAGAGAATCTTGCCGTTCATCTACTACTGTTTCTCCCATTCAATAAGCCAGGACTGTCAAACTCGCCAAATGCGTCATGGGCTGGCCACGCCCACGCCCAGTTTAGCGAAGGGGGGAAAGTTCCAATAAGTCATGTGACAACACGAGTTTGACACCCCTGCAAGAAGCAATAGCTCCAGCAATTATTCTGCTAGGCTGGCAAAAAGTTATTAATTTATCACAAGATACACCTGGTACTGATTTAGCAACTGGAATTCATGACTTTCAAAGAAAATGTTCAGTGTTTCTTGGACATGCCCAGATAACTCACTTCCATCTGTGATTTAATGCACAATAGAAAGGTTTTTGAAAAGCAATTTCATACCAGATAAGGCTTTAACAATTTCACAATAGCATTAACTACTGAACTTGTAAAATGTTAACACAGCTTTGTTTTACTTTTTAATCTGCTTGCAATTTAGGGTTTGAATTCTATATTATTTTCCTGGAATGCATTTTAAAAATCCTGTGTAACCTCAAAAAAGAAAAGAAAAGTCAAAACAGATGTCCTACATATTATTTTTCTGTTATTGTCATTTTTCATTCTGACAAGTGAAGGGTTTTTTTCACATTTACATTTTGCAGTGCAAGTATTTTAAAACAATGGGTTGTGTCACTAATTAGCCTGCTGTTTTCTCAAAGCAACAGCCTTATTTAAGCAAATAAAGTGAGAAACCTGACCTTTGGGGGCAAAACTACTCATTAAGCTTCTCTTTTTTAAAAGCATACTTATCTTAATGCTGATTGCTGTTTTTTTTCCCTTTTTTAAAGAACAAGCAATTAATTGCATATCCTTATCTAGATTGATGTACTTGAGGAAAGGTTTCTTTTGTGAAGAAGCAAGGTCATACTTTGGAAATGCTCAAGAATACTATATATACACACACACACCTTACTGTCATTTTCTTTTTTTAGAATAGAACCCAGGTACATTAACTGACTAAGAAGTAAATATAGAGAGCTCATTGGAACATATACCTCCTCATGTGTAAAAAATAAAGCCTCTTTAAGGTCACATTTGAAGTAACTAAAGGCAACTTTCACTTACTGATCCAAATAAAATTTCCTAAATGCTCAACATAAGTTTCTCTAGTAACCAATTTCTGCTGAAGCATCCATTTCACATTTTATTCCTTATTTTTCTAGGAACAACTGCCCAAGAACTATTGTGCAGCAGCTGGTACATTCATCAGTAGCAAATACTTCACACGTGGAATGAAATCAACCAACATAAATTTTATATTGCCAAAAGTAATTATTTACAAACAAGTTAAACCCAGTGGAAAGTACCAGTTATACTGAAAAGTGGTGACTTATCTCCTAGGCAGCTGAGCAAGTAATTGTTATGGTTGTTAAAACAGGATCAATTGGGGACAACGAGGAGACACCTGAAAATAAAGGAAACCTTTAGGTACTTTCTGGGGACAAAGGAGAACTTTAGGTACTTTCTCAAGGTGAAGAAAAAGAGTCTATGCAGCATTGCAGGCATTTTTTTTAAAATCCAACTAATGGCCTATTTAAAGGATAGGAATGAGTTATTTATTCAAAACCTAGGCAAAATATTCTACTTGCCATCCCAAAACAAACAAACAAACAAAAATAAAATCTGCCACTGATTGATTGGAATAATTATTGCCCAACTCAATTTTTATTTATGAGCTTCAAAACCAGGCTTCGATCACATTTATTTCTGGCTCTCCATCTCAAACTCCAGCTGTTCTACCTTCTTCCAAGAAATGTCTCCCTTGAGAATATGGATTGTGCCCTAGACACTCCTCTGCAGATGGACTCTCTTCCTCTCCCCATCTCACAGACCTCCTCTCCCTCTGTAGCACAGCCTGCCACCACTTCTTCCACCTGCTGTAAGGCAACTTCCTCCTCATCAATGCTGACCTTCCTCTACTCCCCCTCTACCCACCCCCCAAATACAGAGAACCAGCTGGCTTGAGTATCACATTAGTTTTCTTTCTAAGTTGCTCTTAGCTATAATTGCATATAGCAGTTTCATTTGTTTGAATTTTACATAGCGTATCATAGGAAAGACCAAGATTGAAATTCCTTGCCCAGATGATAGGTGTATGTTCATTCCTAGCCATGTAATTTTATTTGTTAAATAATTCTTGTAGAGGCAGAAAAACTTAAGATTTGCCTCTCAAAGTATCACAAAAAACTGAAAACTCCTCAGCTGTCTCTACTAGGGAAACAATTTAGTACAATTAATCCAGTTACTTTTAACTAATGTCCCATTCATGCATACTTACCAAATGAATACTCTCTCTTGATTTAAAATAAAATAATGACTTTAGTAGGTGAAAAAGGATACCTTGAAAGAAAACAAATAGATGACTACAAAAGTGATAAAAGCAAGGTATACAGGAAGTCCATGACTTACGACCACAATTAAACCCAAAATTTCTGTTATTGAGACATTTAAGTGAGTTTTGCCCCAATTTATGACCTATCTTGCCATAGTTGTTAAGTGAACCACTGCAGTTAATAAATTAGTAACCCAGTTGTTAAGTGAATCTAGCTTTCCCATTGACTATGCTTGTCAAAAGGTTGCAAAGGTTGACCACATGACCTTGGGATACAACTACGGTCATAAGTATGAACCAGTTGCCAAGCATCTGAATTTTGATCACATAATCATGGAGATGATACAAAGGTTGTAACTGTGAAAAATAGTCAGAAGTCGTTTTTTTCAATGCCATTGTAATTTTGAAGAGTCACTAAATGAACTGTTGTAAATCGAAGACTCCCTGTATGGAGAATATTTCTTTTTAAATTGTCTTTAAGTCATATTGACTTTTGGTCATTGCACAGTCAAGTCCATGTCTAAGTGGTTGGCCACTACCTTCTTCCTACAGCTTAGAGAAACTGACTTGGTTACCATTCTAGCATGTGGATCAAATTCATGACCTCATAACTAAATTACTTCTTTGGCCCACTATTAGCAACCAGAGCAATTCATTGGGGCATCTGACCTTTTAACAGTTCTGATTTCCTCTACATTGTACGTAAAACACAATTCATTCCCTCTTCTTGATATAGAGTTTGTATCCCAAGTTCTCTCTATTGTTCCAGATAAATAGATGTTCCAATTATGGGCGTAAAACATGGAGATATTTATGAAAGAGCAGAATGAGAGGAAAGTTAAACTTAAAAATGAAGTTATGAATGAATTTACAGTATAAAAAACCTTGTGAATTTTTTTCTAAATGCATCTCTGATTCCAGGCAATATTCAGAAAATACTTCCGCATTTATGACTATCATAGTAGAAAACCAAATGTCACTCTAACTTGTTTAAGAATCTATTGACAACCAAGTAAGTCCATTATGCAAGTAAGTCCATTATGCAAAGTTTTGAATGTTGGCTATCTCGTATATTGAAAAGATGGAAAATTATTCACAGGGAAAGGAAAAATACAAAGCTTTTCCTAATTGCTCTGTCCGACTTAAGATGTTGTAGCAGTGTAGAAATGCTTTTTTTTGGGGGGGGGGGTATACTTACCCTTGATGAAATAGATATATACCCTTAAGTTCCTCTTCTAGTCATAAATACTTTCAGAGGAAAAGAGAAGTGGAACACCCACCCAATAGCCATCTGTATTCAGAAGGAAGCACCCTTTAATTTTAAATGTTAAAATAGCCACATTTGTACTGTCCTACCCTGAAAATAAACAAGCAAGAAAAAAAGATAGAAGATAATGAATACCTAATGATGGTTACAAAAACTATCTGCTTCTGTTTCTTACAGATTATTCTACAAATAATATTATTTACAATGGTGCTTTCACAGTAGAATTTAGCATATATCTTGCACATTCTTGCTTTTTAATTTTAATTATTTTATTCTTGTTTTAAAC